ACCTGTGTAAAATAAATAAGTAAATAATTTTTAAAAAAGGAAACAAATAAACCTAATTGTATTTCAAATAAATAAAAACCCACTTCCAAGTAACCTTTGAACGCAGCACTCTGACAATATCAAATCAATCTCACAAAAAAGAGCTGTAAGAGCATTTTGAGTTCCCTTCACAGGTTTGTCTTAGGTGCAGCACAGTAACAACACTGTGAGGTGAAGCGTGTAAATAAGAGTTTGCTAGGAGCAACTTTTCACTGGAGAAGGGAGACACCATGGAATAGGGATATGCATACATACATGTGGACACACACATATAGACACAAGCACACATGGTTATGTAACCATATATACACACAAACGTATCCACATACGTATAACCACACACGTGTACACGTTATACGTAAACGTACACATACATACGTATGTGCGCGCGCACGCACACACAGCCATACACAACACCTTAGTAGCTGTAAGACCAGCTAATGACCAGATCTTGGATTCTAAACACACTCGCCACTAAGAGGACCCAGGACACCCTGAAGAAATAGCTGATTCCAGGTATGGAAGAGGCAAAATACAAAATGAATGTGAGATGTTTTGTGCCAAAAAGCGAGGAAGTACTCAAAAATCAATAGGGACATGTGAAAAGGACACAGGAGACAGCTTAAGGGGTTTTCATGGGAAAAGTCTAGGACAATGAGAACATTGTAATGAACGATGACTATAATAGATTATGACCCACTGAATGACATAAAAATGCATGAATCTATATGGTTAATAAACACAGATATATGGGAGAAAAGTGAATGCTAATTTTAAAATGTACAGAGTATGATAATAGTTACAAAATCACCATTTTGCAATTATAGTAATAATTTCATTCAGGGAAGACTCATTAATGGATTTGAGTGGAAGTCTGATGAGGAATAAAAAGGTTCACTCTAACCACAGGCTAGTTATTATTAATCACACAGGGGAAAACAGTATTTTTACAGCAGAGAAACCCAGGGGAGACCTTAACCAAGTGACCAAATTAACATCAGCAGTGAAAGGACAAAGTGGCATCCTGTGCCTCCTGACGAAACGCATTAAAGAAGGCAGAATGTCACTTCCATAATGTTCCTGACAAAGAGCCACGACCCAGTACAGGAGACGTACTGCAGACTCCAGGCCATCAACAGACTGAGAGCAAAAGACAGTACAGTCGCAGTGCGCAGAGCAGCCAGAGAGAACGAGAATGGCTCTGAGGACACCAGACGGCTCAGACCCTCAAACACAGTTACTGGAAACAAGTAAGGACCCTGACAATGAAGAGAGTCTATACATTAGGGAAATGCAAACGTTATAGACATCACACGCACCTAACCGAACCCCACGATACACGAGGCAAAAACGGACAGAAATGAGGAAGGACGCGATACATCCGTAACAGTAGGGGACTTCACTACCCCACCTTCAATAATGAACAACCAGGGCACCTGGACAGCTCAGCCGGTGGAGCCTGTGACTCTCGATTCTGGGGTTGTGGGTCCGAGCCCCACACTGGGTGTAGAGATGATTTAAAAGAGCAACCAGACAGAAAACCCAGAGAACACGGGAACAGGGCACTCCACCCACAGCTGCGGAGAACTCTCTTCTCAAAAGCCCGTGGGGCACTCTCTGGGACCAACCACGTCTGAGGCCACAAGACAAGCCTCAGTAAACTTAGAATATAATTAGAAATCAGGAACAGGAAAAAATTCAGGACAGTCACAAAAATGTGGAAACTAAGCAACACACTGATGGACAACCAATGAGTCAATGAGGAAACCACGAGGGAAATGAGGAAGCACCCTGAGGTGAATGAAAAGACTCCACACCCCAAAAGCGAAGGGGTACAGCGAAAGCAGCAAATACGTGAGAAAAGAGACCTCACGGGGCTTTCAGCTGAGAACAGGGCAGCGCACCTGTGCCCCTGCAGAACAGGAAGTCCTGGGGCGTGGCCCAGCACACAGGAGACAGGCCTGCAGAGCGGAGAGGTGGTGCCTTAATCACTTCTTTGTATAGATGAGGAGGGAGGTGGAGTCACGAAGGGAGAATGAGGAGGGAAAGGGGGCGTTGGGCGTTTGCGAAGAGAGAAGAAAATGTGCAACGGTCCTGACAGTGAAGACTTACTGGCCAGAGAAAGGCGGTGGTGGGCCTGGCGGTTCCCAGGCCCTCCCGCAGCACGAACTCAGAGTGAGGCCCGCAGGGCTGCCCTTTCCCTCCAGCCACCTTCTGGGGCTCAGGCCCAAGTCTGAGCTGGGTCTGACCAGTGCTGGGTTCTGCTCACAGAGCGTGAGCAAGGCAGCGTGAGCAGAAGTGAAGCACTGGCAGAGCAAGGGGGCAGGAAACTGGGAAGCCCCACCCCAGGCCTGACTGCCCCAAGCCCCCTACTCACCTATTGCCTTTTGGCAGTTGAAGATCTTAAAGCCACCGTGCATACACGCTGCCAGGAGCAGGTGGTGGTGGAAAGGATGCCACTTGAGCCGCCACACTCCGCCCCCCACGGACATGTCTGCAAAAGGCTGCTTCATGTTCCGAGTGTCCCACAGTAGAATGTGTTCGTCGTAGCTGAAAGCCATCCAGCGCAGGGATCATGCAGGAAAGTCAATGCCCACTTATTCCCTAGGTGGCAGGGGGGACATCTCCCAAGCAGGCCCATCCCATTCATTCCTCTAGGACAAAGTTCCTTTTCCCCAGCCCAGATACCTACACTTTGGTTTAAGAGTTGGTCCAACTGGGGGCGTCTGGGTGGCTCAGTCGGTTAAATGTCTGATTTCGGCTCAGGTCATGATCTAATGGTTCAGGGGATCGAACCCCACATCAGGCACTGTGTGACAGCACAGAGCCTGCTTGGGATCCTCTGTCTCCCTCTCTCTCTGGCCCTCCCCCCGCGTGCACACATGTGCGCGCGCTCTCTCTCTCTCTCTCTCTCTCAAAAACAAATAAGTAAACACTAAGAGTTGGTCCAATTAAAAACTGCAACGGTCAACATGAGAAAATGAAGGAAAAGACGCAAGATGGACCCCTGTGCACAAACCCTAAGAGACTCACCTTCCCGTGGCCAGGATGTTCTCCCGATGGGGACTGCTGCGGATGCTGCACACACCCATGGAGTGCCTACAGGCAAAGTGCAAGGTTTGAGCGAGTGCGCACACAGGGACACGTCTCTGGTGGAAAGTCCGCGGAGGAGGGATGGGAAGGCTGGTGGTACATGCCTAGGGCCGGCCCCTTGATGAATTTACCTCTTGCTAGTGAACACAGATGTGCCAGGTGTCCTGGTGTCCCAGCCTTTCAGAAGACCATCGTCCCCACCTGTGTGGAAACAGAAACGCCCACTGACCGTGGCACTGACGACAGGAAGCAGCCGCTTCTCAGGGAGGGAATGTATGCCTGTGAGGAAATCCCCGTGAAGGACTTTTCCTGGGTGGTTTCAGGTTGGCACCAGGCAGAAGAGCTCCAGAAACAGCACCCCAGAAAGAGGCCTGTGCTGTGACTGTGTCTTCACACTTGAAGAGGGCACCTGCAGGGAAGACAGGAAAGGCTGATGAGCTCAGCCTACAGGAATGAAAGGGAAGGACAAGAAGTCAGGGGAAGAATTTTCAGGTCACATGTGGCTAAAGTGCCTTCTGTTCAGGCTCCAGCAACCAATGCTTCTAGCTGCCACAAACCAGAGCTGCCTTATCAAGGAACTCAGAACAGGATCTATATGCAGGAGGCAGCAAACACGAGCATTTTTTTTTAATGTTTATTTTCTGAGAGAGACACACAGAGTGCAAGTTGGGGAGGGGCAGAGAGAGAGGGAGACACAGAATTCGAAGCAGGCTCCAGGCTCTGAGTTGTCAGCACGGAGCCCAAAGTGGGGCTTGAACTCACGAACAGTGAGATCAGACCTGAGCCGAAGTTGGGCGCTCAACTGACTGAGCCATCCAGGGGCCCAACACAAGCACTTCTTAAGGTTCTGGAACCTTCAGCACACCTCCATTTATCTTAAAGTCACCTGGGGCACCTGCGTGGCTGAGTCGGTTGAGTGTCCAACTTCGGCTCAGGTCATGAACTTTTGGTTCGTGAGTTCGAACCCTGAGTCGGGCTCTGTGCTGACAGCTCAGAGCCTGGAGTCTGCTTCGGATTCTGTGTCTCCCTCTCTGTCTCTCTGTTCCTCCCCTGATCATGCTGTCTCTCTCTCAAAAATAAAGAATAAAAAAAAATTTTTTTTTTTAAAGGGAAGTACATTTTGTAACCTTACAGTAAAAGGACCTCTGGGCTTATCTTAGGGAATCTGAAAAAACAGGAAGGGTAGGGAGCCGCCACCCTAATCCATAACCAGTCTTTGAAGACAGCAACAAGATATAGTGTGATGGTGGCTACCTCGAAGGAAGGGGAGAAAGGCTGAAAAGCAGGGCCCACGGGGAGGATGAAGAGCGAAAGAAAACCACCTAGGTCTGACCACTCCGTCCATCCGTCTGTCCGTCCATCCATCCACTCAACCGTGTATCGTTCCTTATACCCACCCACCACCTAGCCACCTTTGCTCCACTCCGCCCATCCAACACATGCTCACTGAGCACACTGCAGATCCCTAGGACAGACAGAAGGGATACAGGAGGAACATGACCTACAGCTACGCACACCAACAGAACCGGTCCAGCCAGGCAGGACACCTGCAGGTGAGCCTCCAATCTGAGCTGCCGTCCTGTGGCAAATTTGCAGAGAAAGCTGGTACTGGCTTCTTTACACGCTGGTCTGTCTCACACCCCACATCCATCCACCAGGACATCCTGACAAGCCACCTTCACACATACAACCAAAGTCCTACCACCTTTCCCTCGCGTGCACTGCTCCCAACTCAGTCTGAGGCCTTCTTGCCACCACCTGTATGGCAGGTCCCCAGGCTCTGCCCTCGTCTCCTTGCAGTCTATACTCGACACATTAGGAAAAAAGATCCCCTTCTGTTCTGCAACATTAAGTCAGAAAACGTCACCCCTCTGCTCAACATCCTGCTATGGCTTCTGTTGCAGTCTGAGCCAAAGCCAAAGTCCATCCTGAGGCCCGCAAGGCCACGTGAACTTTGATCTCACCTTCTGTTCTGCCACCTGCCATTCTGGCCACACAGCCACTTGCTGTCCTCATGCAGCAGGCTCACTCCTGCCCTACCTCTGTCCACCATGACCATGCTCTGTAACAGGACAGGCTGCACCTGCCCACAGCACCCCAATCCCCCAGTCACAGCCCACCAAAGCACTTCTCACCTCTGAGCCACTGTGCCCTCTCTTCACTCATTCCGTGTCATGCTTTGTGACCACTGCCCGTCTCCTCTCTGTGTAAGTTCAGGGAAAGCAGGGCTTCTGTCTGTCTCGTTAGCTCATGTGTCTCTGGCACCTATAGCGGCGCATGGCACATATTAGATGCTCAACAAACGTTCACTGAATAAACGACTTGGTGCTGAATTACAACATCACAGCCTCCACTATGCTTGGCTCTGAATTAGCTGAGTCTCGAGGTAGAACTAATCCAAGAATGAGAAGACCTCAAGAAATTAAACCTCTATTGTTGTCACTGAGACTGTTCACCGTGTGACAGCAAAAAACGCAGAAAGGACCCAGCTGTCAGGGGAAGATGAGCATTAGACACAATGAGGATGAGCCCAAACAGCAACAAGGGGTTGAACCGGGCCAGTATCTCCAGGATAGGATTTTAAGCTGAGCCCTGCCAGAAAAGCAGAACAAACTGGTGGTCTAACATGGAGATTGGGGAAAAAAGAACAGTTCGGGTAAGCATGGAGATTGGAGAGAACACTGAATGGGTGAGGAAAAAGTCATCACTCAAAACTGGCTGGAGAGGTAGGCAGGGACCCGATGTGCAAAGCCACAATGTCGCTGGGGGGATTGCACCAAGAATTCTGGAGAGAAGCTGCAAAGGGTTTAACCACGAGTGAAGTGTGATAACGTTTGCATGTTTGTAGCTTTTTTTTTTTTTTTTTTTTTAAAGTTTTTAAGAAACACAGGGAGACAGCGCGTAAACAGGGCAGGGGCAGAGAGAGGGAGGCACAGAATACAAAGCAGGGTCCAGGCTGAGGTGTCTGCACAGAGCCCGATGTGGGTCTCGAACCATGAAGCGTGAGATCATGATCTGAGCTGAAGTCAGAGGCTCAACTGAGTGAGCCACTCAGACACCCCAAGTTCGCATGTTTTAAAACAATCGCTCTAGCTACAGTGTGGAGGCAGGATTAGAAAGGCTCAAGAATGAATGCAGGGCCATCCTTCAGGGCTCTGCCGGGAGTTGAGACAGTGCCCCCAACAGGTGGCAAGAGAAAGAGATGGCCAATTCTGAGATGCTTGGAAGATCATTAGGACTCCCACTTCTGGAAGGGGTGAGGGGACGCTGGTGTCTGATTTGGGCAGCCAGACCCTGCCCTGGGGTCGGGACATTAGGTAGGAGCTGTGTGCAACAGGACAACACAGGGACAATGGCCTGAGCCAGGATCCACATGTGAAATGCCCAGGAAGCATCCTTTTTTTTTTCTTAACGTTATTTTTTTTTTAATTTTTTTAAACGTTTTATTTATTTTTGAGAAAGACAGAAACAGAATGCGAGCAGGTTAGGGGCAGAGAGACAGGGAGACAATCCGAGGCAGGCTCCAGGCTCCGAGCTGTCAGCACAGAGCCCGACGCGCAGCTTGAACTCACAAGCTGTGAGATCGTGACCTGAGCCAAAGTCGGACGCTCAACCGACTGAACCACCCAGGCACCCCATCTTAATGTTTATCTATCTTTGTTTTTTTGTTTTTTTTCCAATGTTTATTTATTTTTTTGGGACAGAGAGAGACAGAGCATGAACGGGGGAGGGGCAGAGAGAGGGAGACACAGAATCGGAAACAGGCTCCAGGCTCTGAGCCATCAGCCCAGAGCCTGACGCGGGGCTCGAACTCACGGACCGCGAGATCGTGACCTGGCTGAAGTCGGACGCTTAACCGACTGCGCCACCCAGGCGCCCCTGTTTATCTATCTTTGAAAGAGATAGTGTGTGAGACAGTGAAAGCACTCATGAGCAGGAGAGGGGCAGAGACAGAGAATCCCAAGCAGGCTCCATGCTGTCAGTGCAAAGCTTGATGCAGGGCTCGATCTCAGTAACCATGAGATCATGACCTGAGCTGAAGTTGCCCCCCATCCCCCCCACCCCGGAAGCATCCTTGCAGAGTGCTTGGTAGCTGGCAAGATAAAGGCATCAAGAGCTCAGGGGGAAGAAAGGTCTAGGGCACCCGGCTGGCTCAGTCTGAAGAGTGTGTAACTTGATCTCAGGGTCATGAGTTCAAACCCCATGCTAGGTGCAGAAATTACTCAAAATAAATTAGTAAAATTTCCTTGAGAGAAAGAAAGAAGAAAGAAAGAAAGCAAACAAGCAAAAAAGGTCTGCTTAAGCAACCAGAATGCAATTGTTTCTGGAAGAGAGAGCAGCTGGAATCAAAAGAGCAACAATGCAGAGCGACAAGAGCACCCAGACAGGCCAGAGGACAAGGAACACTTTCAAGCAGAGGGAAAGGAGCCAGCAAAGGAATGAGAAGCAATCAGAAAGAAGAGGGAAGCCCGGGATAACGCAGAGAAAAGACTGCACCGGGAGGAGGCCGGCGTGGGAGCATTGCTGAGAGGTACTCCCTGGACCAGGCACCGTGGCCGCCACTGAGGACCTCCCCAAGAGTGCTTCTGGCGGAGCGGGGTGGGCCACGGAGCTTCCGGACAGTCTAACAGAACGTCCCTGACCTCACGACTCACTGTACGGCTCAGTACACCACCAGCAACTAGACGCAAAAGGAAACGAGGGTCAGATCTTCTCTTTGCCTCTCTGCAAATCCAGCGACTCCCCTTCTGTCTTCTCTCAGAGGCCAATGCCCCATGCCCCCCACCCCCCATCTCCCAAGAGTCCTCACCACCTGGGGAAGAGAGGCTGCTCAGCTACCTGGCTCCTGCAAACGTCAGGTGTGTTCCTTTCTCGTCCTCACATCAGCACCCCCAATACATACCATTCACAATGTCAGGAAATCAATTCTACCCCTCTCAGGCTTTTCTTTGGGAAGGTAAACTGGACCCAAGAGAGGAGGGACAGCCTGAAATCCAACGTGACAAGCTCAACACTGGACCCAGAAATGGCAATGGAAAATGTGGGAACCCTGGATTTCTCGGAGCAGGAGCAAACACGGCAGGAGGCAGGGCTCCGGCTGCTCCAACACTGGGGGCAGTGTCCCCCAACGCCCTCCAATGCCCACGGCCAGGTGTGCTTTGTTTTCTAAGGAATAGCTAAGTGTTGAGTACCAACTAACAGCTTTTGCCCCAGAAAATACATTCTCCACAAAGGGTTTTCACGATCCCAACATGTCCAGAGTCACAGCCCTGACCTGGGCCTCACCTGCTCACTCCCTCCCTCCTAGGATCGATCCCCAGGGGAGAAGTACCAACCTGAATAAACGATTTCTGTCTGCCAGTAATTGAAAGCCGCAATCCAGGCCTCAAAGTGATGGGCTTGCCACATGGCCACCTCCTGCAGCCCAGGCCCCTCCTCATTCACCTCTAGCAGGTAGAGCTGCCCCTTGGAGTCACTGCTAAGGATTCTCAAGGGCTGGTCACTGGCCCTAGACACAGAGAACCAATGGAGAAACCCAGCTGAATTTATTCATTGACCCAAACTCATCACCCACTTCTGGTTCCCGACTGGTGGCATCCCGAGACATGTCATGGGAGAGGCTGTCCATGGGCCTGATGCACGGATGTGCCTGTTAACAGGTTTGGGCATCTGGCAGAAATCAAAACTAGCACATAACTTGTCAAAATAAACCCATGTCAGCTTCTCTTGATGAAAACACTGTCTCTTTTACCTAGAAGGATGAATTGTTTCTTTTCGGATGAACACCAGTAATGACATTCCTGAGTCTAGGAAGCCACAATCAAGGCTGCTGCAAGGTTTCAACTCTCCCTCGCATGAAAAGAGCAACGAATGCTCAGAGGAAAGACGGGATCCCTCACCAACACCGGCTCTTACCTTCCAATTTTCCCAGTGGACCAATCCAGAGACAAGGCCAGACACTGCTTCTCCAGGGCAAAGCTGGAAAACGGCTGCAGTGTGTACGCATTCTAGTGGAGAGAAAACGCTATCAGAAGGAAACGGCCCAAAACCTTGGAAAGACTACTCCTGTAGCTCAGGTAGCCATCATTCCCTCATCGCCTACTAGGTGAACGAAACGGGTCAGTCCCTCATTCACAGCAGAATTAGAAGACACTGGACAACTGGCTCCTGCCCTCCAGGAGCTGACGCACCTGCAGAAGGGCTTTCCCACATGTCACCTTGGGGGAAGCTGATCTGTTTTTCAGACCCCCTTGCTGTCCATGCATTCCTAGACATAACCACACTGCCTACGCAGACTCCAAGAAGCACCCCTGGGACACGCTCTCCATCTCTTCAGGCCTCAAGGGATGCTGGCATATTCTCTCTCCAAGGACAGAGACAGCCGGCTCTTTCCTCCAGTTTCCTTTTCAGAAGCCACAACTAGCCATTAAATGCTGTTTCTCCTTCCTATGATTTATGTAAGCTTTTTTTATATTACCTAAGTATCTGAACAGTGCTTAACTCCATCAAAAGGCTCCTAGCAGGCTGCTTCCTCAGTGTCCTCTCTGGGGTTTATCTACTCTTGCTCAGAATCCCGGTTGATGGGCCCACAGTCTTCCTCGGATGTTTCCTCCCTCACTCCTGAGATAGGGCAGCTGCTCTCAGCTGGCCAGCGAGGTCCATTATACACACGCCCTCAGCTGCCATAAATCCAACAGCAAGTGGACCCGTTCCAGTCCCACCTACACCCCTGGACCAGTGTGTGTCCCTCTCACTAAGTCAGGGCTCGGTCTTGTGGGCTGTTTACTTCCCTGTTCTCTCCCTCTTCCAACAATCAGATGCAGTCATTTTGCAAACACGTGGTGCTGATCAATACCAAATGCTCTGAAAAAGTCACATAGAAAACTGCCTTCCTAATTATGGCTGAGAAACACCACTTTCACATAAGAAATTCACGGCCATTCTTGGCCCCAGCATCATCAACCTAAGAATGCTGGTCCAGCTTTCCTTACAGAGGAACTTTCAGATCTACTGACAGGTAAATAAATACCCTGTCACTTCAGCCCTTCTGCTGGCGACACATAAATTGATCTCTTCTCAAATTCAGATGCAGAACCCAATAATTTAAAATAGATTGCATACTAATTTAGAGTGTTATATGACAGAGGCACCTGGATGGCTCAGTCAGTTAAGCTTCTGACTCTTGATTTCAGCTTCAGGTCATGATCTCACAGTTTCTAGGATCGAGCCCTGCATCAGGATTCGCACTGACATCATGGAGCCTGCTTGGGGTTCTCTCTCTCCCTCTCTCTCTGCCCCTTCCCCCACTCATGTTCCCATATGCTCTCTCTCAAAACAAATAAGTCAGCATTTTTAAAAAAATAGAATGTTTTATACGATTTGCCATTGAACGGAAACCATCCCACAAAAAGGTTTGTATCAGCACAACCTCCTGCCCAAACCCTCTCCATTCAGATTCTTTCCACCCCCCAAAAACTCCTTGCCCTAGTCACTGACCTCAGATCCCACCAAGCGGAGCAGTTCTATGGACCCACCAGCATCTGCCACACCCAAGAGGGCATGGCCGGCCACCGGCACATGGCACCTGAGGAGAGAATTCACATGTCAGTCAGAACACGGGATATGCCCAGAACACAGGTTAGCATTATGCACCTCAGTAACTTATTAAATTTCAATTCCAAAACCATGTTGTAGCCTACAGTTCTGTTTCAAGATTCCCCAGCTTACGAATCAGAAAACTAGCATCATTTCCCAGACTGATACCAACCCTAGGACTCAGAAATGAAAAGAGCCCAAGTCTCTAGTAGCCTCCAAATGCCAACAGGTGGGCAGGACAATAAAGAAATGAACCCAAAGTTCAGACATGTCCCCATCTTACTGAATGCTGACAGGCATCAGTCTCCCCTGATTAAATGAACAAATACTCGACAAGTCCCAGACAGGAGGAATTGTTATCAGTTATACCATTTCATGTCCAAGATTGCAGAAGTATCTCTTCTTTGGATCTCAAGCAGGGGGCAAGCAGAGCTGTCTGCGTTGAGACGATACAAGTAGAGACGGCCTAAACGGCTTGGAGGCTCGTCAGGGTCAAGTCCACTCTACAAAAAAATGCAGACATGCTCTATGATTACCCTAATAGATATCGAGGAACCCAAGGGATGGGAAAAGGAATCAAGAGAAAGAAAAGGCTTGACAAGGCTCTGGAACTCGGCCTCAAAGCAGCACCTCTGATTTTCTGAGCTGGAAAAAATGTCTCTTCTTTTGCACATGATTAACAGATAAGTAGATAAACTCTGCTAGACTCAGTACAGAATGTTTTTTTATTTATTTTTTAATGTTTATTTACTTTTGAAGGAGAGAGAGACAGAGTGTGAGTAGGGGGGAGGGCAGAGAGAGAGGGAGACACAGAATCTGAAGCAGGCTCCAGGCTCTGACCTGTCAGCACAGAGCCTGACGCGGGGCTCGAACCCACAAACCGCAAGATCATGACCTGAGCCGAAGTCGGACGCTCAACCGACTGAGCCACCCAGGCGCCCCCAGAATGCTTTTTTTGTAAAGTTTTATTTAAGCAATCTCTACACCGACGTGGGGCTCAATTAAACTCATGACTCCGAGATCAAGCGTCACATGCTCTTCGGACTGAGCCAGCCAGGTGCCCCTACAATGCTCCTTCTAGGTGAGCTAACAGGGACCAGCTATGGTTAGGGTCACCACAGGACCCAGTCCGCCCGGAAGCGTCCTGACCTAGGCCTGTTGCTGGAGTGCCAGTTCTCATGCTTAGTAGTGTTCTGGTTTGGATCTGAATAGATGCCATCAAGAGATTAGGTACGGCTCCTTCCAATTCCCGTTTTTCTTTCTATTCTAGGCTTCATTCATAAGCTTGAGCCACGCCTGCATATGGGGTACATTTTACTTTCAAGATGCCCATTCTAACCTACCTTCTGGCCACAACGCAAACGTCACATCTTCATCTCCCAGTGTGACTCCACAGCCTTTTCTGTTCCTGCCTCCCCCACAACCGGCCAGACACGTCTCAACATTTGCGGTCGGCTCTGCCTCTCTGAAGTATTTTCTCGTCCTTCCTGAGACCTCTCCTAAAAGAGAGTTTGACTCTGGGGCCTTAACTACTCGAGAAACGCCATTTGGGGAGCGCGGACCTAGAAAGCCGCGGCCGAGACCGCCTACGGCCAGGAGGACACCACACACCTTGCTCTCTGGCTTCCGCAGCTGGTAGGTGCCGCAGACCAGCAAGTGCCTGCGGCCTTCCAGCGGGCACCATTCCACCGAGTCCGCGGTGTATTCCGTGTCCACCACCTGCAGCAGCCGCACGCGACCCTCCGTCGCCCGGAAGTCAGACAAGGACGCAATAGCGTCCAAGGCTGCGGGAACCTGGCAGCGTGGGAGGGGTGACGAGGCCAGATTGGGAGCGGGGTAGGGGCTGAGGTCGACAGCGAGGGCGGGCTCGGAGTGAAGACCAAAGACCGCGTTGGTGAAGAGATGCCCCCGCAGCCGGTCCTTTTTCTACTTCCGCAGTCCTCTCCTTCCCTTTCCTGGGGCGTCGGGGCGGGACTTCCGGCCGCCGATTGCCGCCGCGCG